ATTATGGTAAACTAGTGATTCTCAGTGTTCAGTAAACTTAAGAAATTACCTGGTATGCATACTTGCTAAAAACGCACGTTCCAAGAATTGTCAAAGAGGACCCCAGCTCACTCTGTTAAAGTCAAAGTAAAGAGTTTTATTGAAGGGATAGCAACTCGAGTGGGGAAACCAAGTTGGGGAACATGAAACGAAAGTGCAACATATCCCAAAGTGAGAGGGACTTTTTATACGGGAGAAGTCTAGAGAAGTAGTAATGATTAGTCATACATCAGTATTTATAAGTCATACATTAGTAATTATAGGTTGTACATTAGTTAATCTATAAACGTCCTGTCCTGGAGCTAGCCTACGTAAGCATTTTGTGAATATGGTTTTACTTATCTTTAAACGATAGGAGTGGCTTATACAAAAACATTCTTTTTGAGAGCAACTGTAGTTCTGACTAAACCATTGCCATCGCGTCAACTCTCACTCATAGGTCAGCAGTTCAAATCCACCAGGTGCTCCTTGGAAACTCTGTGGAGCAGTTCAACTGTCTTATAGGGTCGCTATGACTCGGAATTGACTCGATGGCAACGGGTTTGGTTTTGGGTTTTGGTAGTTCTGACTCTCCTCCCCTCATCTTCTCTGAGTTGGTGCAGGTTAACCCATTACTGTAAGCTTGGCTGGAATGTCTCTTATTTTTCAGGTATGAACAAAATGGAGTTCGTCTTGCATCCTGGGTAGAAGCTTCTCCTATGCCAAGTACCTAGATTTTGGGGGCTCTTTCACAGAATAGGAAACCCTGGTGGCGTAGTGATTAAGAGCTGTGGCTGTTAACCAAAAGATTGGTAGTTCGAATCCACCAGGTGCTCCTTGGAAACCCTATGGGGCAATTCTACTTTGTCCTATAGGGTCACTATGAGTTGGAATTGACTAGATGGCAATGAGTTTGGTTTTTTTTTTTTTTTTTTCACAGAATAAATGTTATATTTTATTAAATGCCTATTTAGCATTTAATATACAATAGGTGATGCCTAACAGATACAGTGAATGATAATTTTTCATTCATCCATTCAACAAATATTTATTAAGCACCCACTATGTGGTGAGAATATATTGATGAACAAAGCAAAGTTCCTGCTTTTGCTTTCTTTCCTGAAATGTTTACGGAGCATTAACACTTGAAAGATAGGCAAGTCTTTTGACTTTAAAAAATATTAACCTGCACCACTATTATTAAGCTTAGTTTCTCTGAGCTAATTAGGCCACTGTATGTTTCTTTTTTAACCCGTTAAAATGTGATGAATTATATTGCATTGTGATCAGAGAATTTTGTCTGAACATTTCTACTTTTTAGACTTCATTGAAGTTTTTTTCTTTTTGATGGCTGAGTAAATGTGTGGTTAATTTTTATAAATGTTCCATAGACATTTGAAAAGAATCAAGTTCTGTGTCATATAAAAAATTCTTGTGTATGAAATCATATTTGAAATTATTCTAGTTATCTATACCTTTTCTTCAGGGCTTTCAACTGGTTCCTTGGTGAGAATTTGCATTTCTGCCCCAGTTATACTGAATCAGAATCTACATTTTAACAAGATCCCCAGGTGATTCCTATGTATAACTTCCTGGGAACTTGTTAGAAATGCATATTCTCAGCAGGGGTTTGAACTGGAGCAAGCCATTTCTAAGCCTTGTTTTTCTTGACTACTTGGTTTATTTTATATACTTTACTGCTATGTTGTTTGACATGATCTTCTTACCTTATATAACTTTACTATGATGTGAATATTTTATCCATTTAGTCCCATTTAATCCCTTTTGCCTTGAATTCTACTGTGTTTAATGTTAATATTACCACTGCTGCTTTATTTTGGTTGTATTTTCTAGATAGATATTTTCCCATCTCTTTATTTCCAGTCTTGCTGATACTTTTTGTTTTATGTGTTTTCTTATAAACAGTAACTTGGTGGATGTTTCGTTTTGTCCCAGTTTAATTGTGTTTGTCTCTTTATAGAGAAATTTAACACATCCACATTTATTGTGATATTTTATATACTTGGTCCCTCTTGCATTTTAAATTTTTTTTAAGTTTTCTTCTTTGTTTTTTTTGTTTCCTGACAGTATTGATCATGTTTCTTTATTCTCTCCCTGCTTCCCCTCCCAGATTTAGAAGTCCTGCTTCTCAATTCCTTTTTTTTTTCTTCCCAGAAATAGTACATGGGTATTAAAATTTCTAAGGCAAAACTCTTAAAATTCATGATCTTCACATATGTGCCATAATTTAGTTATGTTTAGAATTATCCAGCCATGATCCTTTTTGCTCAGTGCTCTATAAATGATGTCCTACAATATTCTGGCATTTATGGTTGATGTCAGTCTTACTCCCTTTTGCAGGTAACTTTTTTTTTGGCCTGAAAACTCTAAGGATGTTCTTTTTGTTTTTGGAATGTATTTTTTCTTTTCAATGCCAAAGTCTTTGTCCTTTCTTTGCCCCCTGAGCTTTGGGAAAATTCTTTGGAATTGTTCTTATTTACTAATTCTGTCCTATGAAGCATTCATTCTACTATGCATTGCTTCTGTTGACTTTTTAATTGGGGACCAGAAGGTTTATCATCTTCGTAACCTCTTTCTTGTTCTCAGGGTGTCCTTTTTTCTTGAAAGCCTGCTATTGTTATTAGTATACAAATACACAAAGTGCGTTTAATTAACTTTTTCACATCTTTCTACTGATATAATTGACGTGTAATAAACTGTACATATTTAAAGTGTACAATTAGATATATTTTGACATGTGAAACTGTCACCACAGTCAAGATAATGAACATATCTGTCCTCCAAAAGTTTGCCTATGCCTCTTTGTAATCCTTCCTGCCCTTCCTTGTCCCCAGGCAATCACTGATCTGCTTTCTGTCACTGCAGATTAGTTTGTATTTTCTAGAATTTTATATAAACGGAAACATACACTATGTACTTTTTTTTATCTTCCTTCTTTCGCTTAGTATAGTTATTTTGAGATTCATCCATGTTGTGTGTGTTACTCATTTGTTTATTTTTATTTTGCACTTTGTTATCCATTCACTTGTTGATGGACATTTAGGTTGTTTTCAGATTGGAACTAATTCAAATAAACATACTGTGAACATCCATGTACAAGTTTTTGCATGGATATATACTCCCACTTCTATTGGGTAAATATAACTTAGGAGTGAAATGACTGAGTTATTATTTATGTTTAAATTTTTGAGAAACTGCTTAACTCTTTTTCCAGTCCCACCAGCAATGTATGAGAGTTCCAGTTGCCTCATATCCTTCTTAATACTTGGTATGGTGAGTCTTTAGTTTTAGCCATTTTAATAGATGTGTTTTGATCTCTCATTGTGGTTTTAATTTGCATTTTCCTAGTAATTTTTTATGTTGAGCATCTTCTCATATGCCTATTAGCCATTTTTATATCACCTTTAGTGCAGTACCTGTTCAAATCTTTTGCCCATTTTTGTACTGAGTTGTTTGTTTTTCTATTACTGTTCTTGAGAAATCTTTATATATTCTGGATGTAAGGTAAGAGATATCTTTATTAACTATGAGATTTATAAATATTTTCTCCCAGTCTGTTGCAAATATTTTCTCCCATTCTGTGGTTTTTCCTCATTCTCTTAACTGTGTCTTTCAGAGAGTAGAAGTTCTTAATTTTGATGTTTAATTTATTAAAATTTTTTCTTAATGTGTTGAGCATTTGGTGATGTAGCTAAGAACTCTTTGCATAACCCAAGGACACAAAAATATTCTCCTATGTTTTCTTACAGAAGTTTTATAGTTTTATGTTTTACATTTTGGTCTGAGATCCATTTTGACTTAATTTTTGTATATAGAGTATGGTATGGATTGAGGTTCATTATTTTTGCATATGGCTATCCAGTTGTTCCAGTACCATTTGTTGAATACCCTTTCTCCATTGAATTGTGTTTGTACCTTTGTCAAAAATCAATTGACTCTCTATGTGTGGGTCTATTTCTGAACTCTTTTCTTTTCCATTGATCTGTTTGTCTATTTTTACCCCAATACTGCACAGTCATAATTACGGTAGCTTTCTGATAGGTCTTGAAATCAGAAGGTATAAGTTCTCCAACTTAGTTTCTCTTTTTCAGTGTTGTTTTTGGCTATTCTAGGTCCTTTGTATTTCCATATAAATTTTAGAATATGTATAGTGAGGTACCTATAATTTTTTTATATCAGTTAAAGTTTTTTGGTTGGAGGTCAAAAAAAGGAAAAAGGTTTATTGGGAAAATGCTAGGGTAGCTCATAGTAGAGGGTGAGCTGCAGGAATTAGTGCAGCTCTGAGAACCTTAGGGATTAGACCTGGGGACTTGATGTTCTCATGATTCTCTTAGCCTCTTATGTTTGTGTCTCTCTGCATGTTGATTTCATTTTCCTGGACTGTTCCATGTAGTGTGGCTCATTTCCTCCAAGAAGAAGAGAACTTTTCCTCACCAGCTCCACTTAGCAAAATCCTGGAAAGGAGTTTGGCCCAGCCTGGGTCACTCTCATCACTAGATTAATCACTGTGGCCAGGGAGACAGGGAGCTCTAATTGGTCAGCTCTGGAGTTGGGGTATTGTGATAAACATTCTCCCAAAGGAAGGGAATGCTCTCATTAGAAGAAGTATTAGGAAGTAGTTGCTGGATAGGTAAACACAATGGATGTCCACTACCATATAGTACACATTGTTGAGAGACAGAAGAATAATTTGATGACCTCAAAGTAATAGACTTCAGTCAGTAGGCTTTCTAAAATTCTCCTTAATACACAGTGCTATATAAACCGTTGTTCCTATAAAGCTAACCTATTATCCTCAGGCCTTATGGTATATTACATATAACATGTTAAGAAATACTAGTTTTTACAACAGGGTTTTTTTTTTTTTAATATTTGTGAAATTATTGCTCACGTTGTATTGTTTGAATATTATGTGGCAGCCCATAATCTTCATTAATGTTTTTCTGTGCTTTCTATTATAGGTTGACTGGAAATGTAAACAAAATAGGCTGTTGGTTTCCTGATGGCTTTTAGTATATACTGACATTGGTTGTGATGGCATCAGAAACTGAGAAGATCCATGCTTTACTCCAGCCTTGTAGTACTGAATCTCTTATATCCAGCCTTGGTCTGGGAATATTATGCCTAGTAGCTGACAGACTTCTTCAGTTTCCCATAATTCAGCAAAATGACTGGCTTCGTGCCCTCTCAGATAATGCAGTACATTGTATGATTGGCATGTGGTCATGGGCAATAGTTATTGGAGTCAAGAAGAAGACTGATTTGGGAGAAATCGTTTTAGCTGGATTTTTAGCCTCTGTTATTGATATAGACCACTTTTTTCTGGCTGGATCTGTGTCTTTAAAGGTAAGAAGCATATATTGTCATTTTTCTGGTCTTTAACTTTTTTTTAGCACTGTTATACTGATCTTCACAGATCATTTTACAGCTAATTAGAATTAGCCTTATTATAAAATAAGAAAGTCCATTCATTCAGGTTTTTTTTTTTCAGCATCTAGTTCTTTCCCAAAGGAGCACATGGCTATGTTGTTAATCAAGTTATTTTCCATCGCAAAGTACAGGTAGTCTCTGACTTACGACAGAGTTCTGTTCCGACAACTCTGTCATAAGTCAGTTCTGACCTTTAATACTTTTTTGTTTGTTTTAGGTTTCATTATTATTGTCTTTTATTTTCAATATCCTTAAAAATCTGATCTTTATTTGTCTTTGGGAGTTGGAAACATTACATATAAACTTACAGATATATTTTAATGTGTACATACATATTACTAACAATAGGATGTACAAGAAAAAAAATCAGTCATAAGTGCATAACTTGAACGCATTGTAAGTCGGGGACTACCTGTACTATGGATGCACCCAGAAAATTATAGACTCGCTAATTGTACCAGAAAAGTTCAGTGATGGCTTTTAGAGAATGTATTTAGCTGATCTTGAAGGATTAGCCAAATGGTTTAAATTAATGGGGGTCATTCTCAGGGCTGTCCTAGTTTTTTTTGTTCAGTGTTCTTTCTTCAAGGCTTACATTTCCCCCCTTATTCTCTATGTCTTCTACTTAGCATGTAGCTCCTAGGTGCTCCATAAAAAGTTAAACAGTTTCCCACGGAGCGGCTGGTGGGTTCTAGCTCCCAACTTTTTGGTTAGCAGTCGAGTGTGTAACCACTACACCACAAGGGCTCGTTGGACCCCAGATCTACTGAAGCTAAAACTCTGAGGGCGTGGCATACAACGTTTTCTATCAAGTCCTTCAGTTGATTTTGATGCATGCTACAATTTAAGAACCACTGCTCTAGGGATTTTCCTCTTAATCCTCACCCTAAATTGGGTTACAGGCCTGTGACAAATATGTTATTGCCTGAGTAGGTGCATTTTGAGGACAAAACGATCCAAAAATTCCATTGCCAGTAAAGAGAAGATCCCCATGTTTTAATAGCCTAGGAGGTGGAGTTAACATGCCTTGATAAAAGATAAGAAACTGATGGATAGAAAATTACCCCAACTCTCAAAAGATAAACCAAGGCGGTGCCAATGTTTCCTTTTAAAAATAATGTGGCACCTACTCCAAGAAATGGTCAAATGATTCATTAAAGCCTAAAATTCTTGGAAACAACCGAAGTGTTCATGCAGAGATGAATAAATAAAATTTGCTAAATACATAAAATGGAATATTGTTTGGCCATAGTGAGAAATGAAGTTCTGATAACATGCTGTGACACAGATGAACCTTGGAAACATTATGCTCAGTGATACAAGTCAGACATAAAAGGACAAGTACTGTATGACCTCCTTTATATGAAATATCTAGAATGGCAAAGGCATAGAAGTCAAACTTTATTAGCGGTTAGCAGGGGCTGAGGGGGCAAAGGAGGTTATCCCTTAAGGGGAAATAAGAAAGTGGGGATGGCTGCACACCATGGTGAATATAATTAATGTCACTGAATGGTACACTTAAAAATAGTTTAAAAATGGCAAATTTTTGTATATATATTTTACCACAATAAAAAAATTGAAAAGAGTTGAATAGTTTTAAAATGATTCCAATCCTGGGGAATGCCTTTCATGAATTCATTCCCTGAGTCCCTCTTGGGGCCAGAGGCATGCATTTCAGTGAGCTGGCTGGAACACAGTCACTGGTAGAGAAATTGAGGAATTTCATTGAGGCATTCAGGGATTTAGCTATACAGTGACCCAGTTAGCATCTCAAATGAACAAAACATAAAATAGTAGTTGAGATAATATTTTCTGAGTCACAAGGCCTGTCTACCTTTTATGTGTTTATGTGTGTTATGTTGTAAAAAAATAGAGCAAGGACTTTGTCTGCTTTGTTCACCACTGCCAGGAACAGCACCTGGGTCTCCTAGTGGGTGTTCATTAAATATTGGTTGAACAAATGAGAAATTAACACTTCTTGTTCTAAATGTGCCAAGTACTGTACCAGGTATTTCTCGGAAGTTGTCACACTTACGCAGAAACTTATCAGTAAGTGCTGATTAAAGACAAATTTTAACTTTTTTGCTGTAAGTGGAGTCAGCACTGTTGTTTCAGATTGCAGGTTCTAGAGTCAGAAGACCTGAGCTTGAATCCTAGTTGTGTGATGTTAACAGAGCACTTCCTTCTCTATGTTAGCTTTTTAAAAAAAAAAAAAATTTTTTTTTTTATTGTGCTTTAGGTAAAAGTTTATAGAGCAGATTAGTTTCTCATTTGATAGTGTGTACATAAAGTGTTCCATGACATTGGTAGCATTCCCCACAATGTGTCAGTACTCTCCCCATTTCTCCAGTGGGTTCCCTGTTACCTTTTGTCCGGATTTTCTACCCCTTCCTGCCTGCTCACATCTTTGCTTTTGGGCAAATGTTGTCCTTTTGATCTTGTATAATTGATTGATCTAAGAAACACGTTCCTCTCAAGTGTTAAATTGTTTATTTTATGGGCCTGTCTGCTGTTTGGCTGAAATGTGGTCTCCAGGAATGGCTTCAGTTCCTATGTCTTAGGGCCATAGTCTTGGGGGTTCTTCCAGTCTCTGTCAGACCAGTAAATCTGGTCTTTCTTGTGAATTTGATTTTTTGTTCTACATTTTTCTCCTGCTCTGTCTGGGACCCTCTGTTGTGATCCCAGAGTGGTCAGTAGTGGTAGCTAAGCACCATCTAGTTCTACAGGTCTCAGGGTCATGTAGGCTGTGAGTTATGTGGTCCATTAGTCCTCTGGACTAATGGCTCCGTTGAGTCTTTGGTGTTTGTCGCTTTCCTTTGCTCCAAACGGGAAGAGACCAATAGTTGTATCTTAGATGATCGCTCGCAAGCTTTTAAGACCCCAGGCACTACTCACCAAAGTAGGATGCAGGATATTGTCTTTATGAACTGTGTTGTGCCAGTTGACCTAGATGTCCCCCAAGTTTCTGGTCCTTCGCCTTCAAGCCCTAGGAACTTTGTCCCACAAGGTGTTTGGTTATGTCTAAGAAGTTTTCATGACCGTGCCCGTTGTGTGCTCTGTTGTCTATATTAATATACATGCAGCATCTACAATTATGTATGTAGAAATATCCACAACCAAACCTTTATCTGCAGGTGGGTGTGCTCCCTTACACCCTCCCACACCTTTTTAGCATACCTGTCTAATTATGTGAGCCCTGGTGGCGTAGTGGTTAAGAGCTCGCCTGCTAACCAAAAGGTCAGCAGTTTCAATCCACCAGCTGCTCCTTGGAAACCGTATGGGAGAGTTCTGCTCTGTCCTATAGGGTCACTATTAGTTGGAATTGACGGCAACGGGTTCAACCGGTTATCTACCTGTGCATCTATTTGTAAATTATTGTTTATTAATACTATTGTTGCAGGATTGTCTGTATTATGGTAATTATCATAGTTGCTCTTTATTCTGGCATTCCTCTCAGTGTCTTCCTTTGCCTTGGTCATATTGTGATGACTTCCCCCATATAGTGTACTGCCTTTCCCTTCACCAGTATTAACACGTGTCTTCTATCTAGTTAGTAATTTTCCCTCTCTCCCTGTCCCATCCCTGGTAACCATCAAAGAATAGTTTTTTTGTTTGTTTTCTATGTGTAAACCTTTTCTTGTTTTTTTGTAATAGTGGTCTCATACAATATTTGCCCTTTTGTGATTGACGTATTTTACTCAGCATAATGTCCTCCAGATTCATCCATGTTGTTAGATGTTTCATCATTATCCTTTATCGTTGCGCAGTATTTCATAGTGAGTATGTACCACAGTTTTTTTAGCTATTCATCCATTGATGGGCACCTAGGTTGTTTCCATCTTTTTGCTATTGTCAATAATGCTGCAGTGAACATGGGTATGCATGTCTGTTTGTGTCACAGCTCTTATTTCTTTAGGGTATATATCTTAGAATGGGATTGCTAGATAATATATATTTCTATTTCTAAATTTTTAAGGAATCATCATACCATTTACCATAGTGGTTGTACAATTTACATTTCCACCAGCAGTATAAAAAAATCCCAGTCTTCGCACAACCTTGCTAACATTTATTATTTTCTGTTTTCTTTCTTTCTTTTTTTTTTTTTTTTTTGATTAGTACCATTATTGTTGGGGTGAGATGTTATATCATTGTAGTTTTGATTCGCCTCTCTCTAATGGCTAATGATCAGGAACATTTCTTCATGTGTCTGTTAGTCACTTGAATGTCTTCTTTGGTAAAGTGTCTGTTCATATCCTTTGCCCATTTTTTAATTGGATTGTTTGTCTTTTTGTTGTTGAGGTGTTGAAGTTTTCTATAAATTTTGGAGATTTGACCTTTGTCAGATATGTCATAGCCAAAAATTTTTTCCGAGTCTGTAGGTTCTCTTTTTACTCTTTTGCTGAGCATAACTTTTTAATTTTTAGGAGGTCCCATTTATCTAGTTCATCTTCTACTGTTTGTGTATTTTTAGTTATGTTTGGTATTCTGTTTTTGCCATATATTAAGGCTCCTAGTGTCCCTATTTTTTCTTTCATGATCTTTATAGTTTTAGGTTTTATATTTAGGTCTTTGATCCATGTTGAGTTAGTTTTCATGTATGGTGTGAAGTGTGGGGTCCTATTTCATTTTTTTACAGATAGACATTCAGTTTTTCCAGCACCATTTGTTAAAGATACTGTCTCTTCTCCATTTAATGGACTTTGGCCCTTTGTTGAAAATCAGCTGTCCATAGGTGGATGGATTTATGTCTTGTTTCTCAATTCTGTTCCATTGGTCTATATGTAATTATACCAGTACTAGGCTGTTTTGACTACCTTGGCTGTATAGTAGGTTCTGAGATCAGGTATTGTGAGGCCTCCTACTTTGTTCTTCTTCAGTAATAATTTACTTATCCAGGACCTCTTTCCTTTCCA